CCAGGATGGAGCAGGCACAGCTGAGGGGCCTCCGTACTGGCTGAGCACCCTGTGTCCCACATTCACCTACATGTGATCATAGTCCTGGAGAGAGAGATGAGATCTTGAGGAAAAGATCCATGATTGGCTCTCTTTGTGGGGCCCCTCTGATTATTTGCTGTTAACAAGTGGGAAACGGGGTCCCTGGGAGACTTTCCTAGAAGGAGCCTATATAGGTTAGTTATGGTGGAAGAGGGGGTCTGAGCATCTCTGCAGAGAACAATGCCATCCTCACCTTGGCCCTTTCCCAAGCACTATAAATGAGGGGTCAGGCAAGACCCCAGATACAGGGCTGTTGGATACCTGGTTGTTCACAGCCAGGCCCCACCTGTGGCCGTCTGTTGACCAAACAGAGAAGGTCTGGTGGTTTTCCCTATTTTCTTCCCACTGGAGCATTCTCTTCCAGTTGGAGAACTGGCTCCTTAGCACCTCTGGTGTCAAAAGGCTGTCTTGGGGTTGTGCCAAGTAATTAACAAACCTTGAGCCTGTGGGCTTTAAGCGGGAGTGGTAGCCCATGAGCCTTATCTCAGCCAAGTAACCTTTCTTGACAGTAGGAGCGGCTTCCCTTCCCATCCCTTCTCTTCACTCCACTTTCTTCCTTTCCCGTTCTTCATCCCACTGCTTTCCCATTCTTTCTGGGTGGTGGGGGAGACTGGCTCCCTGCTCAAGGACTCTCTGTCGGGCTGGGGCGTGCCTCTAGCACGTTCAGCCTGTGAGCACTCCAGGTGGGGAAGTGGACAGGAGCCATTGGCCATAACCAGACAGAATTTGGAGACGTTTTCCTGAAGCTCCACTGAAAGTTTTATAAGAAATATATGTAGCATGATTTTTTTTTAGAAGAAACTAAAGATTTCAGTAGGATTTAAATCATGCCACAACCAGAGCATCACAACCAGAATAACCCCTGGTTATTCCTAGGACATGGGTACTTTCATTTTCCCCTGGTAAATTGTAGGAAGGCTTGCTTTTTGAATGGTCAGTGTCCAGTTGAAGGCAGAACACTAATCAATTTCAAGGCCCAAGACTTGGGGACTAGACCGCCTCGTGTTGAGGGACCTCTGCCGCCTACATACAGTCCGTGGATGAAGTGAATTAATGACACTACTGCCCTGCTTACTCCTTAGGATGCGGTCAGACAGCATCAGATGTTTCTTCTCTCCTTCCCCCAAGACAGTGTTAAATTAAGTCATTTAACCTGTTAAATTAAGTCATTGGATTTTACTCTGTTCTGTTTACAGTTTACTATTTAAGGTTTTATAAATGTAAATATATTTTGTATATTTTTCTATGAGAAGCACTTCATAGGGAGAAGCACTTATGACAAGGCTATTTTTTAAACTGCGGTATTATCCTAATTTAAGAGAAGATCGGTTTTTAATAATTTTTTATTTTCATAGGATGAAGTTAGAGAAAATATTCAGCTGTACACACAAAGTCTGGTTTTTCCTGCCCAACTTCCCCCTGGAAGGCATACTTTTTGTTGCTTCACCTGTAGCTTGTTTGTGCCCTGTTGAGGTAAATGTTCCCTGGCTCTGCTCTGTGACAGTAATGAAGAGGGAAGGTCCCGGCTCCTTGAGGCCGCTCCCTTCTCCTGTCGCAGCTCCTCAGAAGGCTGCAGAAATCCTTGACACTTCTGTTTCTCCTCTCCTGCCTTTGCCACACTGTCCCTCTCCATCTGGCACTAGCTCAAGAGAGAGAGATAGACGGCACTCTTACATTGCCTTCATCTTCCCTACTTCAGAGTCCGCGGCCAACAAGTTGACGGCACTTTGACCTTTTCCATCACCATCTGCCTCGGAGGTCACCTCCTTTCCTCTGCCCATCAGCTCCTCCTCCCTGCAAAGAGCCCACTGCTCCCCATGCCCTTGCGCAGCCCGTTGAAACTGAAGCACAGTCTGACCACTCACGATAAAGCAGATACTCCTCTGCTCCTGCCACAAGGTTTTAGAGTAGTGTAGTCCACGGAGAGGATGGGGCGCCCTTTCTCACATGAGAAACCCGCTCTTCGGGAAGCCTAGCAAAGCAATATGACTCAGCCCAGCACTCTGCCCCAGGACTCACGGCTCTGCTGTGCCTTCCATCCTGGGCTCCCTTATCTCCCGTGACCTTAAGAACTTTGTCTGGTGGCTTTGCTGGAACATTGTCACTGTTACCACTGTCATGCAGGGAGCCCAGCACTGTGGCCAGGATGGCAGAGACTTCCTTGTCATCATGGAGAAGTGCCAGCAGGGGACTGGGGACAAGCACTCTACCCAGACCTCACCCCTTCCTCCTCTTGCCCATGAACAAGATGCAGTGGCCTGAGGGTTCCACTAGTGTCTGGTTTCCTTTATTATTGCACTGTGTGAGGTTTTTTTGTAAATCCTTGTAATCCTATTTTTTTTAAAGAAAAAAAAACTTAAGCTGCATTTGTTACTGAAATGATTAATGCACTGATGGGTCCTGAATTCACCTTGAGAAAGACCCAAAGGCCAGTCAGAGGGTGGGGGAAATTCAGCTAAACAGACCTAGTTCCTGCCCTGCTAGGCCATGCTGTACTGTGAGCCCCCTCCTCATTCTCCTCTCTAAGCCCATACCGAGGACAGGGGAGGAGCCACCCCTTTCCTTCTCCTGCCAGCTGCAGATGGCTTGCCTTGCCTTTCCACCCTCACTGTCAGCCACAGAATGAGAAACCCTCTTACAGCTCAGCCTTGAGTCCATTGCCAAAACGTCAGCACACCTGCCAGCAACTTGGGGGTTAAGCTAAGGGTTCCTGCGAGGGGGAAAGAAGGCAAAATGGCGTGGCTGTCTCCAAACGTGTCTGAGTCTGATCTGAAAGCGACCAAGAGACTTTGCACACACGAGTGCAGATTGAGGAATCGTGGTGGGTCATTCATGAGAATTCCCCCAAGGGGTGTCCCAGATCCCTAAGGAGCGACAGCCGCAAACCTAGTCAGCTCTCAGTGAGAGCCATCTCACGTAAGCTTTGCTGCTACAACCTGTTGTGGCTGCGTTTCCTAGTGGCCAGTGACAACTGTGTAACCCGAACAGCTGCATGGCGCTGACCCTTTGGCCGGAACTGGTCCCTCGACTCCTCCACTGCTGCCCACCAGGCCCAGCACAACCCTTGTACTTCCAGACCAACAGCAAGAGTTAAGGGGAGCCCTGGCTGCTGTCTGTTTGCAGCCAGCCTCCTATGCCAGGACCCGGCCTGCTGCCCTGCTTACCTCTGTCCACCCCTCGGCCAGTGCAGTGGGCGCCATGCAGCAACCTTGAATTCAAAAAAACAAACAAAATCCACAAAAAAAAAAAAAAAAAAAAATCTTTTAATGAATGTATCTTTCTAAAGGACTGACTTGTTCAATCAAATATCTGAAAATACTAAAGGTCAAAACCTTACCATTTGTTAACTTAGGAATTTGATTTGGGGTTCTTCATAGAAATTAAGTTGCTTTTGTTTTTAAGGAAAAGCGGGTCATTGCAAAGGGCTGGGTGTAATTCTGTTTCATTTCCTTCTTCATTTTAAAGCAATACAAGATTATAGAGCAGATGGTTTTGTGCCGAATCATGAATACCAGTCGTCTCACACTCTGAAAATTTGAAACTTTTTTGTTTTGGTTTTCAAATATAAATATGATATATATAGGAACTAATATAGTAATGCACCATGTAATAAAGCCTAGTTCAGTCCATGGCTTTTAATTCTCTTAACACTATAGATAAGGATTGTGTTTCAGTTGCTAGAATTGGCAGGAAAATGTCAGGCGAGTGTTCTCTGCGTCCCACGTGGGGAAGCCCGAGCTGCGGCCACCCCGGGGGCAGAGCGAGTGCGAAGTGGCGTCACCTGGATTTCTCCTGCCGTGAATGTTGCCAGTCAGTCCCTGTATTCCTTGTTTCTCTATTTTTGGTTATGAATGTTGGGGTTACCACCTGCATTTAGGGGAAAATTGTGTTCTGTGCTTTCCTGGTATCTTGTTCCGAGGTACTCTAGTTCTGTCTTTCAACCAAGAAAATAGACTTGTGGTGTTTCTTTTATTGAACTTATAACAGTCTCTCTAGTACATACAGGTAGTTGAATAATTGTTTCAAGAGCTCAACAAATGACAAGCTTCTTTTCTAGAAATAAGACATTTCTTGACAACTTTATCATGTATAACGGATCTTTTATTTTTGTGGGGTTTTTTCCTTTGTGTTCTTCCAAGCTTCTGGTTAGAGAAAAAAGAGGGGAAAAAAAAAAAAAAAGGAAAATGTGTCTAAAGTCCATCAGTGTTAACTCCCTGTGACAGGGATGAAGGAAAATACTTTAATAGTTCAAAAAATAATAATGCTGAAAGCTCTCTACGAAAGACTGAATGTAAAAGTAAAAAGTGTACATAGTTGTAAAAAAAAAAAAAGGAGTTTTTAAACATGTTTATTTTCTATGCACTTTTTTTTATTTAAGTGATAGTTTAATTAATAAACATGTCAAGTTTATTGCTGCACATGGTCGAGCTTCCTTTTTGGCTTGGCAGGGATGGAGAACTTGGGGAAGCTGCAGCCTGTGACCTGGTTTCAAATCCCTCCAGCGGTGCCCGAGGACAGAGATTGCTAAACCGTCCTGCGCAGCCAGGGGCAGGCCCCACCCGCACTGGCACCCTTAACTGGCTGTTCCTCCTCCACCCCGCAGTGGTGCATGGTGAGGACCTAATGGACTTGGGATCTGAGGACAGCCCCTGTGCCATCTCCATGTTCCATGTTGTCCAGGCAGGGTGGAGCAGAGGCCCAAGGTGATTTTCTCCTGAATTGAACGGAATAAATGGAAAGCACTGCAGCCCCTGCTCCGGGCTCTGTTCCACCTTCAGGCTGAAACTCGCCTGTGTGTTCTGTGATGAGGGCCAGGTTTCTGCTGACAAATCCTTGTAAATCATCTGCTAGACCAGGGCCACTAAACTCAGGCCCCGCCCAGGACCTCCTCCTCCTCCAGCCACTGCCTGGAGAGGCTCCACCCCAGCCCAGCTTCCACCTTCTTCCCCTGAATCACCTTTTGGGACTTTGGAGTTGGATACCATGGGAACCCCAAGTGATCAGGCTGTTTTGCAGGCTATCTTCAACCCTAACACCCCATTTGGAGATGTCCTTGGGGTGGACCTAGGAGAGGGAGCAGAGCAGGACGAAGATGAAGGTGAGCATTCGACTTCAGAGAGCAGCTCTTCACAGGCTGACAGTCCCCCACCTTTTTTTTTTTTTTTTTTTTTTTTTTTTTGAGACAGGCTCACTATGCTGTCTGTCCAGTCTGGCCTCGACCTCACTTTATGGCCCAGGCTGGCCTCAGACTCACAGCAGTCGTGCATCAGCCTCTCAAAAGTGCTAGGAATACAGGGGTGCACCAGCACACCTGGCCATAACTGCTGGGCCCTGAAGGTAGCACAAAGGTGACATGATAGGACCCTTGCGTTGATGCTTGCTGTTGGTCGGAGGTAGGGTGATCTTCAGTGTGCAGAGAGGGATTTAGGAAGAGACCTTCTGTTCTGTCCCAAAGAGTACACCAGGGGTTATCTCAGGCCATCCCCTTTTTCCCCTCTGAAATCACCCTGAATTCCCTCCATGATTCAAGCTGAATTGCTTTGTGTGGGTGATGTCATAACAGTCACCCTCACAGAACGGAAGGCAGAAGCAATAGAGAAGTTCCAACGTAGCAAGTGGAGTTAGCGCTTGTTAAGCAGTGTCACAAGCAAGGTTCTACAGAAGGAGTATATGCTCCACTGGCCCCAGTGGAGCAGTGTTCGTGTCCTTTTCTAGGCAGTGAAACCTTAGCTTTATTTACTGAAGCTTCAGGCTAAGAAGCTGAGTTACGCGTTGGAGTGACTTACATCCTGGGACATCATGACGTCCCTTAGGAAGGAGGCAGCATGGAAGAGCAGGGATCAGGTGAAAAAGCCAGAAATTATCTGTTCTGCAACTGTATCGAAATAAGCAGTTTATTGGCCTAAACATTCAAGTGTTGAGGGCTCATACTTGTGGCCCTGGGGAGCATTTAGGGTCCCTTTCTGGTCCCGGTGTCTCCACTCTAGCTCCCGGGTTTGGTGACCTCAACTCCTACCCCAAGTTCAGGGACTTAACCTCTGCTGGGACTCACGACCCGTCAGGTCTGCAGTAGGTCTCAGCATTCTGACACCTGAGGAAGCTTTTTCTTTATATGTGTCCCCACCTGGCTTCCTCCCTGGCACAGATGCAGTTTTCCCTCAAGCACAGCTGGAGCGGTGCAAGGCGCTGGAGCTGCAGGGGGTGATGGCAGCAGAGGCTGGGGACCTCAGCACAGCCCTGGAGAGCTTTGGCCAGGCCATCGGCCTGCTTCCGGAGAGAGCTTCAGCGTACAACAACAGGGCCCAGGCCCGGCGGCTCCAGGGGGATGTGGCAGGTGAGGGGACATGCCCAGAGGGGAAGGAGCTGTGGGACAAGGGACCTGCAAGGTGTGCAGTATGGCGTACACCCTGCTGTGTCATAGGGCAGTGGTGAAAGTCAGAAGAGATTGCATTCTACTCTTTTAATGAAGGGACAGTTCATGAGAGCCTGCTGTGTGGCAGTAGGCTGAGTCAAGGAGATAAATGATGATGCACTATTTTTATTTATTTATTTATTTGTTTTGCAGTATCAGGGATTGAACAACTGGATCTTGGGCTTGCCAGGCAAACGCTTATTCTACTGAGCTATCTCCCTGGCCTTTATGCACTATTTATAGCTGATATTTATTTATTTATTTATTGCACAACCAGGGATTGAACTCAGGCCCTTGCATTTGCCAGGGAAGCGCTTATTCCACTGAGCCATCTCCCCAGCCCATATAGCTGATATTTATATAATGCTTACTAACATGCCAGGTATTATGCACTTACATTTAGGCTATAGTAGCTCAGTCTTACAACGACCCTTGAAGAGCTCTGTACTCTTATTATGTCCCCCTTTTGGATCTTATTTCATTTTGTTATTTGAGACAGGGTCTCGCTATATAGTTCAGGCTGGCCTTGAACTCACTTTGTAGACCAGGCTGGCCTTGGACTCAAAATCCTCCTGTTTCAGCCTCCTGAGTGCTGTGATTACAGGCATGCACCACCATGCCTAGCTATTCCCATTTTAAAGATGAACTAAGGAATGGGCAGGTTAAATGACTGGCCCACTATCCTCCAGGAGGGAATTGTCAGAGCAGATATTTGAACAAGAGGGTAGAGGTCTTAAACCCTGTGTGATACCTATAAGGACCTCAGAATCCAGGAGTCAGAGCAGTGACATTATTGGGTTATCAGCATAATAAACTTAAAAAGGCACTGCCTGGGGTGTGTTCCTGAAGAGAAGTTTCAAAAGATGAGTTGGAGTTAGTTGGGAAAAAGCAGCAGGGAGAAAGGAGAGGGTGGGCCTCCAGAAGCCACGCAAAGGTCCGGAGAGCTGCAGCTCTCAGGCTGTGTGGAGCAGGCAGCCTATAACAGCTGAGTCTGCAGGGGCGGGCAGGGATGTGTGTGTTGTCCTTGTCGTCATTGGGAGGTGAATGGAGGCAAAGGTTTTAAGGGAGGGTGACTGGCTTAAGCCTGCCATCTCCAGTTTACTCTGGCTGGAGTGGGCGCCATGAGACGGGGGTGGGTTGGGGTGGGGGGGTTGTTTGCACAGGGGACCACAGCCAGACTGCTGTGATGGTGGAAACAGGAGTGGTGACTGTTGGGACTATGCAGATTTTCCTAGGGCGGGAACCGTCTGGCTGCAGAGTAGGTTGCAGAGTCTGAGCTGTGTCCTGGGAACAAGAGAGCCGCCCCTCGCCAGCCAATGCGCCTGGCACGAGTCCCCTCTAGGCTTCTCTGCCCTTGGCTGCTGAAGACAGCCTAGCGGTGGCTCCATCTGGCGAGGCCTGCTTCTAGATGGTGCCGGCATGCCCCAAAGGCCCTGTCAGGGCCAGTAGGAGACTAGGGAACGTGGACTTGCCCTTTCTGCTACAAAGAGGGCAACTGGTAGACCTTCTGGTAGACTCTAGTGGGCTGCTTGGGTTTCTGAATGCAGAGGGTGGAGGCCCAATCCAAGTTATTTTCTGTAGATAATAAGAATTAAAATACTGGGGCTGGAGAGATGGCTCAGTGGTCTAAAGCACCTACTTGAAACAAGTTTGGCAAAGCACAGGGACCACGGTTCGATCCCCAGCACCACATGCCAGCCAGCCCCGCCCCCTGGTGGGCTGAGCTGGCCACACACACACACAATAAATAAATG